AATAAGCCCAATAAACCTTTCCTCATTTCGACAAAATCAAAGACTACACCGTCTTCTTCGATTCGCAACCCTAGCCACCCTTTCCTTGATTCGATTCTCTCTACTTCGATCTTCTTCTCCTCAATCCATCAATTTTTGTTCTCAAACCCTTCGATCTTCTTCTTCTACTTCTTTCAAACCCTAGGTATCTCTTCAATCAACCCTTCTCTTCTTCGATTCAGACCCTTCGATCTTCTTCGATCTTCTTCTTCACAGTATGCCTACACCAAAGAAAAAAGGAAGGAAACGACGAGTTCCCAACGTTTCCCAGAGACCTGGAGGATCTAAACCCCCCACCGGAGTCAAGCGAAACAGCCCTCTACTACCACAGTACAATTTCACACCGGCGAACCAAAGTATTCCTCAGCCTCAGACGCCGCAAGAGCCGATTCGGGAGGAGCCCCAAGCGTCACCGGCAGCAACGCCTCATTTCCGGAACTTCCCACCGCCACAGTCATTGTTTCAGAGCTCCGTGAATCAAGTCCGTGGAGACCAGCCAGCTCGTTCCTTACCGGAAGTGCAGACCGGTCGAGGTTTTGAACAGCAAGATCCCCTTTATGAACCTCCAGAGTCTCCAGCTCAACACTCTCACGCTCCAAGTCATCCGTCGTCTCATGGACACAACTTCGAACCTGATCCCGTGTTACCAGAACTCCTGGAGGACACCGTGAAGGCTCTAAATGCCCTGCTTTCAGTGCCAGGCAGAGAGAGGTTCACAACTGTTCTCAGTGAACCAGAGCTGCCTGGAACGAGTTGGTAAGACCTGTGACCTTCTATGCTTACTGATGAATTGTTAGTTAGATGTTTACTGATGAATTGGTCGTCTCTTAAAGGTTTTTTAAGTATTTAGGTAACTGATTGTCTTGATAATGTCTTAAGCGTATTATAATGGCTAAGTCTCTCTTGTTTAATCAATGTCAGTCTCTATTGAGTTTCTCAAGCGTAATCTTATTGTCATTTCTGACATGGTTAATGTCTCTAGTTAGGATATGGTAATGTCTCAAGTGTTTTGTCATGTTTTTTAATGTGTATCATGGGTAAAGTCAGTCGCATTCATAATGCATAATCTGATGCTTAGTGATGCTAGATGTTTGAGATTGTTCTTTCACAGAGTTTGTAACTGTCTTGTGTCTCATGTATATTCGGATTGTTAATATATTGAGTATGTTCAGTTTTGGTGTTGATTCATATATTTCTTTTGG